ATATGGACACAATTTATTTCATATTTGAAGCAAAAAACAAGTCAAGTTTGCTAATTGTAGTGACCCATATGAAAAAAATAAATACAATTCTTGAAATTGACTAATCTACCATGGGAAACTGAAGACACTGAAATATGTGACTAGTTAGTAATGATGGAGATCTTCCTTGTAGGTATCTTGATGGTTTCATAGTTGCATCACCACTAGATGATTGGTACAAGTACTTATCATACGGGTTTATCATCTGGTGATGCAGCTATGAAACTATCAGAACACTTATGAGAAAAATCTCCATCATTGCAAACTTCATAAGGTCCACAAGTACTATATTAATCACATATGTCCTTATCAATGTCTTCAGTTCCTCCCAATAATCGGTATAATTAGTCCATCTCAAGAACTGTATTTCTTCCTCTAGGTTGACAAAATTATCAAACTCGAATTGTTTTGGCTTCAATTGTGAAATAAATTGCCTTCATACCGGCATTAAATATTGGTTTGACTTCCTGATTATTCGTGAGGGCAGAATTGTCATTGAAATTTTGTTCATTCCTACTGATAAGACGTGCTTGTGAAGAATGCTAATAAGTTTGAATACAAATTTTTCAAACTTATTTAAAATTTGAAATTGATGAAGTTAAGTGTTATTGTTGGTGTGATTTTGAGGAAATTAAGCGGTGTGGGTGGAGAGTTGGAGAAATATATCAGAGATTAGGAGAGAGCGAGGAAAATAGGAATTTTATAAAAAAATTTAAATGGTATGAATCATGATAAATATGATAAATTAAATTGTGTATTTAGGTAATTTTTTTCTTAAAAAAATTATATTTGAATATGTCAATACTGTCTTTTTCTATTTTAGATGAACAACTAAGAAAATGATGCATAACAACATGTCATGGCTACTTAATAGTGGTCTTGACAAACAACAATGCTTCTGATGCTTATTAACTTACATGATACATTGAAGTGTCACATAACTATGTGTCAGATTCATATATAAAGGTTATTATCAAAAGTTTTTTTAGTTTGAGGCAAACTAAGAGATCTTGCAATTATGTATCCTACATAATTAAAAAAAAAAAGCACATTAATACATATATTATATAATGTATTAGATACACAACATAATGAATCATGTAAACAACATTCTATTTTTAAACACTCTAATATCAAATAAAACTTTTTATCAAACAGAATTGTACAGATTGTGTGTTCGATACACAATTTTATGGAACAAAATATTACATTTATTAAATCATATAGGTAATACATGATAGAATGTATCAGATACACAATATTATATTCTTGCATGAACGAATACATAATTTTGTATGCTAAATACGTAAATTTGAATTTATATTTACTATATCTGATACATAACAACTACCACACAAACACAATAATGTATCGATCTCAAACTCACATCTTTTGGACAACAATTACGTATTTAATGTATTTAGTAGAAATACAACATTTATCTATTTAAACAATATACATAAATAGTAATGTATTGATAAATCTATCTATCTAAAAAATAAAATTTAAAAAATGATTACAAAGCATTATAAAAGGTATGACTGATCCATTGAAACCATGCATCTCTTCAACATTTATCAGTTGTATCAATGCATAGTGGATACATTGAAAATACAGACTCTTGTTTCTTCACCTCAACGATGTATCAGATCTCCAAATTTTTTCTCAACTCATCGATATCTAATTCAACTGCAATTGCTGATTTAAGATTAACAAAATCAATATTTTGACCAACAACAATTTCATCACTTTTGTACAGTTCTTACCTCACCTAACTTTCTAGATTCCAAAATGCCTCGACATGTTCATGTTGTATCAGTACAATTTATCGACAAGTTTGATTCAAAAATTGAGAATATTATGAAGAATGGAAAGCAGAATTTTAAAATCTGAATTGTGCTAGCCTGTTGTGTTAGGACCGAAAATAAGCAGGTGTAAACGCGGAAGCTAGCAATGCAAACCTCGATAGGCCACGAGTAAGAAGACAACGAGAAATATACCAAAAGACACAAAGATTTAACGTGGTCGGTCAATCGACCTACGTCCACAAAGGAGATGAGCAATCCACTATAAATATGAGAGTACAAAATATAGAGAGAAACAACCTCAACCAAATTCACTCAGAATACATGGGAGGTTCACACAAGTGATAACGTATCAAGCTTGTGACCCATAAATTCTCCTCCTAACCAAAACTCTCAAAGCTCTTAAGACTACATTGTGAATGCTGATTAAGTTAGAAGGAACATGCCTCTATTTATAGAGTCCTAAACCTTTTCCTACCAGAAAAAGGATAAGTCAATCCAAAACCTTTTCCTAAAAGGAAAATCTATTTTTGATAAGAAATCAGGGCAAATAAAACCCAACATGTTGTGATTATCCGGAGATAGAATCCCATTGTTAATTAGTTTTGAGCCAGCATAAACTTAGTTCTTTACTCCAAGTGAGGGAATGGTTGATTACATATACTTTACCATCCAATGTTGCAAAAACCATAAGACTTACATCAAATGGATGATACTCAAATTGGTGTGGTTGATAGTTTCTTTGATCATAGTGCCCACAACGGAGAGGGGACGAAGGGCATGTCAAGCAACAAAATCAATATTTTCCTGTTATTTTCTTCTGCTATGTGTCAGACATCGATCTACTGTAATGGTGGACTTGAGATTCACAAAAGATTGTTTGTGCAACAATCATTCATTATATATCTTATCAAATTTTCAGAAAAAATTAAATCTAATTTTGATGGTTCTTCGATGAACTGGGAACAATGAATAGGGAGAAAAAAAATGAATTTTGAATTTGTTGGTTGTGGAAGGATTTTTGTCTGACTATAAAATGAAACTTGTAAGAGTAATTTATGGAATTTTAATTGAATTTTACATTTTTTTTCTCTTTTTAGCGTAAAAGCTTGATACATTATGTAGCAACATTAATGTATTCAGATAGTGAGTTATGTATCCGAATGGTGTAAAATTAGATATTATTATAATTAGAAAAAAGAATAGGAATATGATTAATTTAATCCTTACACTGTGGAATTTAGGTAAGTTATACGTAAATAATTACAAATTAATATTTGTTAAATTTGTAAGGTTTCAAAGGTTGAAGGATAAAATATATGGTATTCATTCTAATTAATTGAAAGTTAAATATGTTTAATAATGTACTCCAAGGATAAAAAACTTATCAACATTTCAAAGACTAAAAACATCAATTTCCTTTCTCTCAATCTAAAATTGTTACAATACACACATTTTTCTGTTATAGATATAAAATATAGTAACCTATAAATATTTTTTTTTTGACTGATTTGATAATATAAAAAAAAACTTCATGATATTAGTTGGAATTTTTGATGTTTTTATTTTGTCGTTTTGGGGCTTTAAGTCTATAAACAGGAACAAATATGACAATTTTTTTCTTTCTCTCAACGTGATTATTCTCATGCAAAATATGACAAATTTTTATCTTATTATTAAAATTATCATTTTGCATATATTTCGGTTTGATCTAGAAATATTATAGTAGTGATTATATTTCTAGTTATGTTGTTAATGTTAAGATGTTGGTTTATCAATTTTATGTACTTTTTCTATTTTAATTTGTTTGTCTGGATTTGATACGAAATATAAGAAAGTAAAAAAGAATTTTGAATCATGTTATCTTAAACTAAAGTGTACAATGTATCAAAATGAACTTTATTCTTGTGTATTAAATATTTCACCTGAAAGACTAATATTAAAAAGTTGTCAAAAGGAAAAAAAAATATTTTCTAAACGGTCTTAAAAAAAAAGTATAGCAAACAAATTGAAATTGAGGAAATTGCGGCTCTCGCTATTGTTGCAGAAAAAAAAGAGTTTTTTTTTTTCATTAGCAATTCTAAAATCATGTTTTTTGCCTTGCAAGAAGTTATTGATTGTTTTGTTGCAAGTACAATGAGTAATAATATTTATTTTCTGTCTGCTGCAGCTTTTGAAAAAAATGATTCGTTAATATATAAAGGAAAAAATAACAAAATATCCCTCAATTTTGTGATTTAGACCTGATATATATATATATACGCCCTCAACATCTAACATATAGAGTATATTTACCCTTTTTCATCGTATGTGTTCATGAGTTATGAGGAACATAAGGAAATGGTACCTTATTTTGTAGAAAAAGATGAGTTTTTTTGCCATTAACAATTTTGAGATCATGTTTGTGAATCTTCATTTCACCTGTGGGATTACATTGAATTTGTTGTTAATGTCAAGGGCGGAACCAACATATTGTTAGAGGGTTCAGCGGAAAATATTACTCCCTCCATTTCAAATTAATTGAACTGTTAAAGTGTTTCACACCCTTTAAGAGGAGAAAATTAAGACATAAATTAGGTATAACTTTCCATTTTCACCCTTATTAATTATTGTTAAATTTAAAATTAAAATAACTAAAGATTAACTATATAACTAATTCCAATACTAAAAGTAGTCTTGAAAATTGAACAGTTAAGTTAATTTGAAAAATATCTGAACAATTCAATTAATTTGAAATGGATATAGTACTATTTATGTATGGTTGAAGTTATTTTTCTAAGTATATATAGTAGTTGTCGAACCTCATTCGACTTGTTTGTGTGTTTTACTTTTTTATTTGAACCCTTTATTGAAAATTCTGACTCTGTCACTGGCGTTGTTGCTGCTTGTGAATCTTCATATGACAACTCTGTATTTTTAGAGCATTAGATGCTTTAAGAAAGTGCTCTACATTGCTTTGTTGCAACTTGAAAAAAGTAATGACAAAATGAATTGTGTTTTGTGCACATTAATGGACTCTTCATTTTCTGTAATCCATTGAATGTTGTGATGAGAATATTGAAAGTCTCTTGTTGGAGACTGAACTCATCCTTCCCATTTCATTATATATATGTAAGTTTTTGAATTGATATGTTCTGTATATACAAACATATCAACATGTCTTCTAGTGCTGAAAAAATTGAAGGTAGTGATGATCTTTTAACCAGCATTTTACTACTCCTTCCTGCAAGGCCTCTTTTCAGGTTCAAACTTGTTTCGAAACGTTGGATGTCTCTCGTCTCCGATCACCATTTTTCTTACCTCTGGAAGCCTGAATCCTTCCCACCTGCACTCATTCTGCAGTCGCCTTTTCTCGATTACCCTTGTTATTACATTCCTGATAAAACAGAATCTAAGTCTTCTGTTAGATTCTTTGATTTCATAATGAATGATGATCCCTTTGATGATGTTGTAATTTTGAACTGTTGTGGTGGTTTACTTCTTTGTCGTAAGGAGCTATTCGATGAGTACATTGTGTGTAATCCAACTACAAAGGAATTCCATACTCTTCCAAGTCCAAATGTGGGGTCACTAGACATGAGTTTGGCCTTTGATCATTCGATATCGCCTCATTACAAAGTTATAAATGTTGGGATCCAGTTCTCGAGCGTATGGTATTGTCTCCTTATTGAAATATACTCTTCGGATACCAACTCATGGAGGCGATCACGAGTCCAGTTTCCAGAATCATTTTTGAGCAATTTGGGACAATGTAAAGGAGTTTTCTTCAGTGGAGCTATCTTTTGGATCTTTAAAGGGGTAAATAGCTTTTGTTATTTTGATATTGATAAGGAAATTATCCACTCTTATCAATTGCCTAAAATGAATGAACATTATTACTGTGGATGCGTTCGCGGGAATTTACATCTGGTTGGCTCTTCAGTCAGTGATTCACATCATATTGATGTCTTTGTATTGGAAAATGACTGCTCTTCTTGGAGCCGAAAGTATTGCATTGATCGACGTGAACCAACTTCAAGTGCAATTCGAGAAATGATTTGTAGCTCACCGGGACTTACTTCTCTTGTGTTGAATGCCTTGAATCGGACCCGCTACAAACAGAAAGGACGGGGGTCTCGCTGCCCGGTCAGCGAGTCGGGGGGTCCAGGGGGGCGACGCGCCCCCTGGCCTGGGGGTCCGGGGGGGCGGAGACGCCCCCGGGCCGACGGTATACAATGTTGTTGTATTGGGCCCTTAATTTTCTGTTGATTCTGTATGTTGGGCCCAAGCCTGTTAGGGCGTAGCTTAGCACTATATATAGACGCTATGGGAAACCCTATTCTGTAATTCTGTTTTTGCCTCTCCATAATAAAACTGCTCCCTCTCTTCCCGTGGACGTAGCCAATTTGTTGGTGAACCACGTAAATCTGTTGTCTTATTTTTCGCGTTTATATTTTCTCGTATTATCTCAAATTCCGCACAACAAATTGGTATCAGAGCCTCTCGGTTAATCGGTGTTCTTGGAGAATTCGAGATGTCTGCTTTGAACGTGAAAATCGACAAATTCACAGGGAGGAACAGTTTCAGTTTATGGCAGATCAAGATGCGGGCCTTGTTGAAACAGCAAGGCTTCTGGGCGCCGTTGTCGAAAGACAAGAACGCCGTCGTTACTCCTGAGATGGCGATTCTGGAGGAAAAGGCGCACTCGACGATCATGCTGTGTCTCGCGGATGACGTCATCACGGAGGTCTCGGATGAAGAGACTGCTGCTGGTCTGTGGTTGAAGCTGGAGAGTTTGTACATGACAAAATCTCTAACCAACAAGCTGCTTCTGAAACAACGTCTATTCGGTTTACGAATGGCTGAAGGTACACAACTCAGGGAACACTTAGAGCAATTGAATACTTTGTTATTAGAATTGCGTAATATCGATGTGAAGATCGAGGATGAAGATGCTGCCCTGATTCTGTTAGTATCTCTCCCAATGTCGTTTGAGAATTTTGTTCAATCGTTCATTGTTGGGAAAGATACTGTGTCACTGGAAGAAGTCAGATCAGCCCTTCATAGCAGGGAATTACGGCATAAGGCTAACGGCACAAGTACGGACATACAGCCTTCCGGTCTGTTCACCAGTAGCAGAAAGGGAAGGAAAAACGGCGGAAAGAAAAATAAGCCGATGTCGAAGGGTGCAAAGCCGGATGATGTTTGTAATTACTGCAAGGAGAAGGGACATTGGAAATTTGATTGTCCGAAGAAGAAGAAGCAATCGGAAAAACAATCAGTGTCTGCTGCTGTTGCTGAAGAAGACACCAATTCTGAAGAAGATATTGCCCTAGTTGCGGATGAGCACACTCATCATTCAGATGTGTGGGTTCTTGATTCTGGGGCATCCTATCACATCTGTCCTAGGAGAGAGTGGTTCACGACTTATGAGCAGGTAGACGGAGGCAGCATCTCGATGGCCAACAGTTCTGTCTGCAAGGTGGTTGGGACAGGCTCGATCAAGATAAGGACACATGACGGTAGCTTCTGCACATTGAACGAGGTCAGGCACGTTCCATTGATGACGAAAAATCTGATATCTCTCAGTCTTTTGGACAGCAAGGGATTCAGCTGGTCGGGAAAAGATGGAGTCTTGCGGGTCTGGAAGGGTTCAAATTTGATTCTGAAAGGTGTCATGCGTGGTACTTTGTATTTTCTACAAGGTTCCACGGTTACAGGTTCAGCCCATGTTGCATCGTCAGAATTTCACCAGAAGGATATGACTAAGTTATGGCACATAAGACTTGGTCATATGGGTGAAAGAGGGATGCAAATTCTGTCAAAGGAGGATTTACTTGCTGGTCATAAGGTTAAGAGCCTAGAGTTTTGTGAACATTGTGTTTTTGGAAAACTACATCGCAACAAGTTTCCAAAGGCCATTCATAGAACAAAAGGCACACTTGATTATATCCATTCTGATTGCTGGGGTCCATGCCGTGTTGAGTCTTTGGGAGGCTGCAGATTTTTTGTGTCCATTATTGATGACTACTCAAGGATGACTTGGGTGTACATGATGAAGCATAAAAGTGAAGCCTTCCAGAAGTTCAAGGAGTGGAAAATTTTGATGGAAAATCAAACAGGGAAGAAGATCAAGAGGTTGCGAACTGATAATGGGCTGGAATTCTGTTGGTCTGAATTTGATCAATTCTGTAAGGATGAAGGGATTGCTCGACATCGCACAGTCAGAAATACACCACAGCAGAACGGTGTAGCTGAGCGGATGAATCAAACACTTCTGGAGAGAGCAAGGTGCATGCTCTCTAATGCTGGGCTAGATAGAAGATTCTGGGCAGAAGCGGTTAGTACAGCTTGCTACTTGATTAACCGCGGACCACATACAGGTATACAGTGCAAGACACCTATGGAGATGTGGTCTGGAAAAGCTGCTGATTATTCAAATCTGAAAGCTTTTGGTTGTACGGCTTACTATCACGTCAGTGAAGGTAAGTTAGAACCAAGAGCTAAAAAGGGAGTATTTGTGGGCTACGGAGATGGAGTGAAAGGTTTCAGAATCTGGTCTCCAGCAGAAAAGAGGGTTATTATGAGCAGGAACGTTGTCTTTGATGAAAGTCCTCTGCTTAGAACCATTGTGAAGCCTACAACTACGTCAGAAACTGGGAGTCTTGACAAACAGGTGGAGTTTCAAGTCATTCAGAACGAGAGCGATTTAAAGGAACCTGAAGAGGAGGATCAAGAGCCACAGACTGAAACTGATATTCCAGAATCTATGCCATCAGATATCCATCAGAGTATAGCTCAAGATCGGCCAAGGAGGGTTGGAGTTCGGCCACCTACGAGGTATGGTTTTGAGGACATGGTGGGTTATGCACTGCAGGTTGCTGAAGAGGTAGATACATCTGAGCCGTCTACTTACAAAGAAGCCATTTTAAGTTCTGATTCTGAAAAATGGTTTGCCGCTATGGGAGATGAGATGGAGTCCCTACACAAGAATCAGACATGGGATCTGGTCATACAGCCTTCGGGGAGAAAGATTATTACTTGCAAATGGGTTTTCAAGAAGAAGGAAGGGATATCACCAGCAGAAGGAGTCAAGTATAAAGCCAGGGTTGTTGCCAGAGGTTTCAACCAAAGAGAGGGAGTGGACTATAATGAGATCTTCTCACCAGTGGTCAGACATACTTCCATCCGAGTGTTACTAGCGATAGTTGCACATCAGAATCTGGAGCTTGAACAACTTGATGTGAAGACAGCGTTTCTACATGGAGAGTTGGAGGAAGAGATATACATGACTCAGCCGGATGGTTTCCAAGTTCCAGGGAAGGAAAATCACGTCTGCAAGTTGAAGAAGTCCTTATATGGACTTAAGCAGTCTCCAAGGCAGTGGTATAAAAGGTTTGACAGCTATATGGTGAAGTTGGGCTATACTCGGAGCTCATATGATTGTTGTGTCTACTACAATAGGCTCAATGATGATTCATTCATCTATCTGGTGCTTTATGTAGATGATATGTTGATAGCTGCAAAGAAGAAGTATGACATTCAGAAGCTGAAGGGTTTACTTAGTGCTGAGTTTGAGATGAAGGATCTGGGAGCCGCTCGGAAGATTTTAGGGATGGAGATCATTAGAGACAGAGAGAGAAGGAAACTTTTCTTGTCACAGAGAAGCTACATTCAGAAGGTCTTGGCGAGGTTTGGCATGTCTTCATCTAAGCCCATTGATACCCCCAGTGCTGCCAATATCCATCTCACTGCCATGTTCGCTCCACAGTCAGAAGAAGAGAAGGAGTATATGTCACGAGTCCCTTATGCCAGTGCCGTAGGAAGTTTGATGTATGCTATGGTCTGTACAAGGCCAGATTTAGCACATGCAGTCAGTGTAGTGAGCAGATTCATGGGACAACCAGGGAGAGAACATTGGCAGGCTGTGAAGAGAATTTTCCGGTACCTTAGAGGTACATCTGACGTTGGTCTCATTTATGGAGGTGATACTCAGTGCTTGGTTACTGGCTATTCTGATTCAGACTATGCTGGAGATGTTGACACAAGAAGATCGATGACTGGCTATGTGTTTACCCTTGGAGGATCTGTCGTCAGTTGGAAGGCAACTTTGCAACCTACAGTGACTTTGTCTACTACGGAAGCGGAGTACATGGCCTTGACAGAGGCTGCAAAAGAAGGGATTTGGTTGAAAGGGCTGGTTAGTGATCTTGGTCTGCATCATGATCAGGCTACGGTGTATTGTGACAGTTTGAGCGCAATTTGTCTAGCCAAGGATCAAGTCCATCATGAGAGAACCAAGCATATTGACGTAAGGTATCATTTTCTAAGAAGTGAGAAGAGAATCAAGGTGAAGAAAGTAGGAACTGCTGATAATCCTGCTGATATGTTCACAAAGCCGGTTCCACAGAGCAAGTTTCAACACTGTTTGGACTTGCTCAACATCAGAAGCTGTTAATTGCCCTGCGGGGCAACTCTGAGGAAGAGGGGGAGGCTTGGCACTATCATAGTGCGTCTGAAGAATCTGTTCGGAGAATTCAAGTCAAGGTGGAGATTTGTTGAATGCCTTGAATCGGACCCGCTACAAACAGAAAGGACGGGGGTCTCGCTGCCCGGTCAGCGAGTCGGGGGGTCCAGGGGGCGACGCGCCCCCTGGCCTGGGGGTCCGGGGGGGCGGAGACGCCCCCGGGCCGACGGTATACAATGTTGTTGTATTGGGCCCTTAATTTTCTGTTGATTCTGTATGTTGGGCCCAAGCCTGTTAGGGCGTAGCTTAGCACTATATATAGACGCTATGGGAAACCCTATTCTGTAATTCTGTTTTTGCCTCTCCATAATAAAACTGCTCCCTCTCTTCCCGTGGACGTAGCCAATTTGTTGGTGAACCACGTAAATCTGTTGTCTTATTTTTCGCGTTTATATTTTCTCGTATTATCTCAAATTCCGCACAACATCTTGAGTTAACGTTTAGTGTGCTTTCTCTTATGACAAGTGAAGGGAATAATCAGTTACCGTATTTGGTTCTTTACATGCCTTATAAAGCTGAGTTAACGGTAAAAGGTAGGACTTGTGAGGAGTTGCCATTACCGTCAGTTTATCATTTGTTCGACAATCCATACTGGATAGGAGGAAGCAAACTGAGTAACGTAGGCCGGTAGATATATAGGGAATGTGTCTATCGCTTCAGTTTCAGATACTGTTGTATCTGGTTCTTCAAATTAAGTATTACAGTTTATAAATGAAAAGTTTCTCCTTGTGTTCGATAGAGTTTGTTGAAGTATTATAACCTACTTGAATAAACTGGAAAAAAAACAAGAAAATGAGTATCCGGTTATATACATTTCTATGTTTATGTTAACATCTAGTTAACATTTCAAGCATTTATTTGGGATTCTTTACAAAAACTGTTTTACATTGTAGCTCATCGATCAGTGAGCTGAATTTGCCTCGATTTTTTAATTTCCAATCAGATGTTTTAAAGTCTGTACAGGGATTCTTGTGGGAAAACAATACTAAATGAATGTATCTGGTAGACTAATCTATCAACTAACACTAGTAATTGCATGTACAAGCATATAGTTGTCTCGAAGGAACAAAAGAATATAGCTAAAAGTTGTGTCAATGTTTCCCTGACTTCCACTCTTTGATAGCAGAGAGAAGTGCATAATTTGGAAGCAGGTGCTTATGTGGTAATGGTAAATTTGTAACTGGTGAATGATCATTGTCCGCGAGCCACGACTCTATTGCCTTCCGGTCATAAGTGTATCCATCAGCCGCAACACAGGGGTCCTGAATCACTTCCTGTAGTAAAATTTTCTTTTAGTAAATGAAGCAAAGAGCAGGAAGTAGACTTTTGTAACATGCATAACAGCATAATGTAGATTACTATTAAGCAATTTACACAATCAACACAAGTGTACCTTGAGTAGGGGGCATTTGAAGTGGCTAGGCGGTGGAGGTAGATTACATTTCAAATGTCGAGCTCTATCAGCGACCTCTTTAAATCTCTCCAAAATAGGGAGAACTTCATCTTTCAGGTCAGGTCTGTCTCTACGTCGAAGTTCAGTGCATTTTAGAGCAAGTACAGCCAGTTCCTTTGTCTCTTCAAGAGGCCATTCACCGGCTTCTTGATCCAGCAACTCAACCAGTTTATCCTCTTCGGTAGCCATTTCTACCATGTGGGCTAAAGCTATGGCTCTTTTTGAAGTAAGCAACTGCAATATGACCATCCCAAAAGCATAAACATCAGATTTTGTAGAGACTAATCCTGTCCTTTGATACTCAGGATCTATATAGCAAAGTGTGCCAACTGGACTCGTGTCTTTATACGCAGTCATCGCTGAGGAAGAGTCTGACTGAACCATTGTTGAAAGACCAACATCTCCAATTTTGCTCACTAAGTTGTGATCAAGGAGTATGTTAGCTGGCTTTAAATCACGGTGTATGATTGGTTTTGGCTTCGTGTTATGAAGGAAAACAAGAGCTGAAGCAACTTCCCACGCTATGCGAACCCTGTCAAACCATGTAAGTGGAGGTGTGTTGTTTTTCCTTGTCAACCTATCCTCCAAACTTCCATTCTCCATGTACTCATATACTAGGCAACCGCGTTCAGGGCATGCACCGAGAAGAAATAACAAGTGAGGATGATGAATTTTGCTCAATACTTCAAGCTGTGGAAATAGACAGAAAAAGGATATAGTTAGTTTAACTCAGACAAATTCGAGTGGCAGCAATAGAAACACAACTAAAGTTGGCTGAAGCTAATACGCCATGTACATTACTCAAAGCTTATTTCAGTTATTCGTGTTAACTTCTTTCTCTGTTCGGAGATTTTGCTTACCTCTTGTTGAAATTGCTTAGTTATATGAGCCTCAGCTGAATGAAGAACTTTCACTGCTGCAGGTGTATGATGCAAATAGCACTTGTAGACCATTCCATATGATCCCATTCCTATCTTAAGATCCTCGGAGAATGATGAGCTAGCCGTCACAATCTCTTCCCACGTGAATTCCTGGTAGTGATGCAAAGGTAGTGCCAATGATTTCTCTAGCTTTTCTTTCATTCTAGCTTCCCGGTTGGCAATGCTCTCTGCTGCTCTTCTTTGCTCAGCTTCTCTTTCAACGCATTCCATTGCATAGTCAGCTTCCTTCTTTGCTGCTTCACATTTCAACTTCTCTTGCTCTGCCAATTCTTTCGCTTCCTCCTCTTTAAGGTTTATCTGCTTAAGTTTATTTGCTTCCTCTACTCGAAGCTTCTGAAATTCATTCAACTGAGAAAAAGCACAGTATAAGCAAATTATCCCATATATGCATGAAAGAGGCAAAAATGCTTATTGATTTCATCCTTCTAATAAAAAGAGTAATAGTATTTGGGAGTACTACTTGCCACAAATTCAGTTTTAAATGAAAATTACCTTCCGAGAAGCATCTATCGCCTCAGTTTGGGCTATTGCATACATCCCTTGAATATGTCTGAGCTCAATTCTCAGTTTTTCTAGGTCATAATTGATGTTAACCTGCACATATACAAAGTCTTCAGTAGCAATTCATGAAACTATGGCAACAGGAGGTTTGCTGTAGCCTGTAAGATTTCTACTAACTTATAGAACTATGTGTAAAACTGCGGAACCAAGAAGCTTCTCATATAAGCAAAGTGAGCGTATGGCACTGCATGTTAAATAAAAGAAAAATATGATCACCTGACTTCCAGATGAAGAATCTGTTGGAACATCTGAGGTAGAATACTGACTTGTTGACCATGATTGGTTGTCGACTTTCGCTTTTTTGAAACTTGAAGCACGATTGTAGAGATCAGTAATTCCCGAGCTACTGAAATAGCAACTTTTTTCATCATCAGCTTCTCCAATAGCAACAGATAGAGCTCTAGGATGGATGACTTCATCCAAAATTGCTCTTTTATGAAAAGGAGTATTGGTTTTAATTGAAAGAGCTTGAAATGCTTCTCCAATATCGACAGATGAACTTCTAGATTGAATGTTTTCGCTGAAGTTTGTTCTTTTATGGAGAAGTGTCTGGAGAGCCTGGTGCACTGGAGATTTAGATTGATAACGTTGCAGTTGATGAGAAGGAGAGTACATATGAGAGTATGAAGCAGGTGAAGTTGAGCTGTGATCCGTCCTCTCTGAGAATTAAAGAACAAGATATTACAATTGTGGCAATGAAACAAGGAGGATATCTGGTCCTGCATATACTATTTTCAATTGCTTCTCGTTTCATCATGTGATCGCCTTGTTTTACTCTAGTTCATTGTATCCTTCGTTAACGTCTAGGAAAATGAAGAAATATGTGAATAAGAAGTTTATACCTCCTTGTGAGCTAAAGCTGTGGCTTGTAGAATTGTTAGATGAACTACTTGTATCACTATTATCATCTATAAGGAATCTGTTGTTTTCTGTACTCGAGGCCCGCACTGATGACAGTTTTCCTTTTGACACAGCGTAAACTGTGCAAAAGGTTGGAGCTGTTTCTGATATACTTGCAGATAAGTTTCTTCCCCTGTGAATCATTCAGTAAGTTATCACATCATCGCGTCACTTATTAGTATGCTAATCGCAAGATAGAAATGTCAACCAAGACAAAGATTTCGAGCTATTGGTACCTCGAAAATAGGCCAGGGGTTGAGGTTCCGATAACAAGCTTGTTGATAGAACATTTAGATACTACCCCTGCAATTGCATTTATCACATCATTTGATTCAAGTTGAACAACTCCTACTTGTACCTGTCTCCGACTACACATTGTCTTGTACGGAAGAAGTTTTTCACTTGCTTGCAACTCAACTTCCTTCCTAAAAGCATCCGCTACGTCTTCTCTTACTTGTGCAATAGGAATCAAGTTCCCCACTAGAAAGAAAAAAAAAGTAACAACTTCCGAGTTTAGACTAATTATAAGGCATGTTGCAGAACTACTTCCAACATAAGATGTACTAGAGTCAAAAACATACTAGGAGTTGGAACAGCGGTGATCTCAGGGCGGACATGTAGCAACATGAAACGCGTTTCTCCCTCTGGAATAAATTTCTCCAACGCCCATTTCACCACATATCTGCTATTCTTGTTCCCGGTTATGGCCATTGCAACAACTGAAGAAATCGGAGACTGTACTGTTCCTTGCCCTTCCATTTTCGATATATTATCACTCTCCTCCAGACTCTGCCACTCCTCTTCAGTAATGTAAGTTCTGCAACAATCACAAAAATGTAAGATCAACTCGTGCATTAACGGAGGAGAGTTTTCTGGTTCAAATGAACACATTGCATTCAACTCGCATGTATAATCCATATTCCAAAAAGTAAACTGAAAATGTGCATTTTTACATATACATTTAAAAAAATTATACTCATTCCGAGCTTATTGACTCTAGATCATGGATTCACATGTATATACATCATACATACTTTAAAATGCCCAAGAACACGGGACGAGTTTTCATGTTTCAATTCGAACAAAGCAGTCATTCTGTATTGATCGATTCTAGATCATGGATTCACATCTACACACACATCATTCATTCTTGAAAAATGCCCAACAAGACGGGACGAGTTTTTATGTTTCAACTCATACTATGCATTCCTATTAAAACAAACACTCATTCTGTATTGACCGACTCTAGATCATGGATTCATAATTTCACATCTACACACACCATACATTCTTGAAAATGCCCAAGAACATGGGCGAGTTTTTATGTTTCAACTCGAACCATGCATTCCTATTATTTCAAAAAAACTCATTCTGTACTGATCGACTATAGATCATGGATTCACGTCTATATGATACATCATATATACATTCTTGAAAATGCCCCAATAAAGGTACAAAAAGGAAAACAAAAGAATACTAACTCTTTCCAACTTTGTGCTCTCTTGATGTATTTTGGACTTCTTTTGTAGTTAAAAAGAGGCATTAGTATATATTTTGGATTTGATGAAATCAAATTCCTAAATAAAGAACTAAACATGATTAAATAGAAGTATCACAAAAACCTTTAATATGATCACAACATTGACTATCTCTTATCATTTGTTGCAAAACGGAAATTAATTTTTAATTGAAGATTAGCAAACATGCATTAGCACTAACCAAAATTAGAGAATATTAAATGTCTAAAATTACGAAATCTTGGTATATGCTTTATGT